ATTGTTGTTGCTACCTCACCACCCCAAGCGTACGACTATCAAACTCTGTAACTGACATTGTTACTGGTGATTTTCCATAATCAAGTCTGATAACATACACCTTCAACATCAGTCAACTCATGATGGGAGCTGTCTCCAACATAACTCGATAGAAATATGTATATATATTATAGTGACCATCAATTCTAGCTAGCGTGGTGTCTCGTTTCCCTGCATTTACTTATCCTAATTTACTGATGTAATTCAATCCTAGTGATTTACAAGTCCAACTAGCAACACATCCCATGTAGAATTTCGAGCCAGTAGGAAGGTGACATTTTGACATTTCACAAACATTTGCATTACAGATCATCGATCATCCAGTGATCAACTTAGTTAGCTCTGCTTGGTTAGATCATTACTGAAGTGATTACAACAATCCTCTTGATCAAATGTCAATTAATCATAGCCTTGCCAAACCGTCGAAAAACAAATGAGGATCATGTTTCTTTAGCCAAACAACTCAAATGTGGCATGTAAACCTGATGTTATTTTATTCCATACAACCCTAAGTGTAGCGAACATGTTCAACATCACAAAACGCCATGTGTTATCATTAGCCATCTGTAATCTCCATAGTAGACAAGCCTTTCTTGTTGTTCATTCTCCGCCCAATGATTTAATTCGACACTTGATGTGAATTCAGTTACCAAGTGGTTAGACTATTTTCATGTGAAAAAAGAAGAACATGGCAGTCATAACTACAAAACTTCCTGTTTGTAAATGGGTTAGTGTGGATGGCAGTAACAGGAAAGGGGAATAGATTAACATGGGAAATCGGAAATGGATTTCCTTTCATACGCATTTGGGATTACATAATCCTTTCTGCTTCAACTATACAACCACACTGATCCCCTCCCCTGAGTAGGTCTGTCATGATAATAGAACACCTGTCTGTGTTACCTACATAGTAGATCAGATGACGAAGAAATTCCACCCCCAGTGTAGAGACTTTGACATGCCTATTATTCATGATGAATTGCAGTGTGGATGTGTATTTTTCATCACTGGATGAAATCAGTCAGCGAACGACTTGTGAACTGCTCCCCTAAAAGGCTATCTCGCTCCAGCTTCAGACTGTCCAGCAGTTAATCCTATCAATGTCATATGGGATTGAACAGAATATATTGAGGTATTCTCGTGAACTGGTTAACAATAAGTGATTAAGTTATAACCCGCTTTCCAATAATATCATGTGGTGTCCACTCTACATTTTATCTCACAAATCAAGATGACATTCAATCAATGTCAGTGTTCACCCTAATGCTGACTGATTTCTGTTCATCATGGAATGTATTGCAACCACTAAGATGATTGCCGAGACATTGAAGTGTGGCGTATTGAGGAATGAGTGCTCAAAAATGATCGAAACGCTGCTACAATACTAATGGTTGTAAGGAACGGGATCCAGGAAACACGTTTTCTTCTGTTTGAAATTTTCAGATGAATTTGTTTTCATCGAAGTTGACGATAATGTTCCCACTGATGATCAAAGCCGGAATTCATGATAAGTGAGCAGTCTGGTGGAAAACTCTCCAGATTTCGAGGCGGTGGATGCTCAGCTCTCAGGGAACACAAACATAGAGGCATGAAACCGATTTGATAGCTCCAAAATATGATAAAGTCTGTGTCACTGCATCTGTATTCAGCCACCGCCAAACAAATAACATTGGAATGAGACGTATACCAATGACGTATCAACCTAACAACTGTGCCTATATCCCAAGTAAAATTGACTGGTTCTGCTAAATGTAGGAAATAGATGAGGCGTACGAAGACTTGATATGATAAGTAATCCCAAGATGGTCATGTTACATACATACTGTACTTCTCAACATTTCTTCATAAAACGCGCAGGCGTGCAGATCCAGGTGTACAGTTCATCATAATGGGCATCATTTATTGTTAAACGGTGTAAACTACGCTGCACCATTAAGATAGGGAAGAATCCCTCCCATTAGGGATATCCTTCAAAATTTCGTGTGAATTGCGAACAAGTCATGCGAAAACAGCGAAACTATAACATCTGGGCATAAATGAAACATTAACAATTCGAAAGTTCACATTAGTTACTGTGCTTCCAAAAGTAGTACGAACAACTTATTTCTTTGCAATGACCAGTGTAGACAATCGCCCAATTGTATAATTATGCTTCACTGCATAATCTTTGGCTTATTTTCCTAATCTAAATTCTTACCTACGCTATGTAATTTCGGTTTTACCATTCAGTGTGTTTTGATTGTTGACTGGAAACTGGTGTGGAACGTCCTATGGTTTCCACTTCATGTCGACGAATGTACAACTCAGAGAATGAGTTTGTTGGTCAGGAAAAATTCTGTTCACTGCAATCACCTTCTGCTTGTTCCCTATATGATCAGATGGGTTTCTGTCAATCTTTGAACGACGTGAAATACGTGAACCCAGTAAATTTATGGTTCCATTTGTACAATATCCATAACCAGAATTCAGATCAACTGGTGTCATATTGCATGCTGAGTAGCTAGTCTTACCAAGTAGAATTGCGTATGAATAAAGGCTCAGAAGACATCTGTTGGATGGACACCATGTTGTACACTAGCATATCTACCCGATGTCTAGTAAAATGCATACTGGTTGAGATAGTTACACTTGAGTGGTGACTATTTCCAAGGCTGAACCAAATGAGCATAAGAATATTGAAGTCCCCACCAGCCGAGTGGGTGATATTTATGCTTATCGTATAATGGCAGAGATAGTCAAAATTAACACCCCTATCACCCACTCGTCAGATAAGAGCATAGTTAACATGGTTTAAAACAAACATCACAAGATAACCAGTGTGCATTCACACAAATGACTGTAGGACTATGACACCAAAGTTATCTGAGGAACAACAGACTGCGCATGTTATGGATAGATGAAAACAATGAGGTTTTTAATGGTTTGTAATAAATTTCGCAGAAGAGCTCAAGCTGACTAGTTGTGACTGGTTTTTAATCTTATCACCAAAGTTGTGGATGAAAACTGAGTTTTGTCTTACTTACGATACTAGGGTGAAATTTGCTGCACAAGTTTACACCGAGCGTTAGCAAGCAACCTCAAAAATCGGTACTATTTACCAGTCCAGTTGCATGCTGAAAATTCTGTAATGTAAACGTGATTGTGGTTCGTAGTAAGGCGAACAAATTACTACGATTAGTGCTGGATAGTGGCTAGCTGTGGAATCCAGATTGACGAGCGTTTCGTTCTATTTTAGATCCATTAGGTGTCTGTGTGAGTGAAGCTGTTCTCACTAAACTCGCGTCTTGGATTTCACTGTTAGCCACTATCCATAAACTGTATCAAAACTGAAAATATAGATAAATATCAAGGCATCCTCACAGCAGCCTGTATGACATTGGTGACCGTTCGATTTGGTCCAATCAACGATGGAGATTCACAAGCTACAAGTCATTAAAAACCATATTACTCCTGTACCATGTTTCTGTTGTCTCTCTCTACCTAGTGTGATGTCTTATAATCAGGTGATAATTAATTATCAGTCGTCTCTAACACTGAAAATTCGTGTTGTAACAAAACGAGTGATTTGTGTTCTGGCATACAGTACATTTATAACACCAGACATAACAAAGCTATCCTACCACTATATACCCTAGATTAAACAGATATATTTAAAGTGTTCGTGAACACAGGTGTATCATGAGGGTGTATACTAGTCTTCAAGATATAACACAGTAATTCGATTATATTGTGTGATAGAGGACTGAATCTCTATCACATTTTGTCTTGCCTAATCAGTGGTCGTTGAGTAGTTATCACCCTAGACGTTAACTGAACGTTCACTTCAATGTGGTGACTGATTAAGTTTGCATTGTATCCGCCTAGGCTGTGTGATATAGTGCTGGAGTGTGAAATTAGTTTACAAGGTACCTTAGATCTGAGTTTACTGCTCGTTGGGATTTATCAGCAAGAAACATGTAGAACTGCAGTCTGCTGCTTGTGAGACAAGCTCTTGAACTTCGTCACCGAGTAATCCAAACTCAGATCTTCAATGAACTCTGTGCTTTCTGAAGGAAGCTTGTTCATATCGTTGTAAAGTGGGGACAAGATTGAAACTTATGCAAAACTGGTTCTCATAACGATTGATTAATACTCAAGAATTAGGAAGACTTTTTTGGTTCGACGCGTTCCCGAGTACTTATACCATTGTTTAAGGTGATCATGTGACATTGGATTGTGGCATTTGTGACTAAGGTTAAAACGATAAATCACGTGAACTCTGTTTTTCAGCTGGTGGTACACAATCTCCAACACGACCGCCTATTCTTACACTTTCTCTTGATTCTTCACATCATATCTACCTTCAAATTTAGCATAGATGACACCACAGTTTACGACTACTATTTAGAACTTTGTGAAATCCATCTGGAAGCAAGTTGTCAATGAGCGTCAGAAGGTAAGGGAGTGATATCATTTGGAGAACCATTGAAAACCTGGGGGTGTTGGTTGGCTGTTTCGGTATGGTTCGACATTCTTCCGTGATAAATACCACTTGGAAACCAACCAACCTCTATAAATCATGAATTATAATTATTTGCTATCTATTTACTTCTATGCTAGATCATTTTCTAATTATCTTCTTTCCCTCCATCTACCATTTAACAACAGAGAATAAAGGGGTGTTGAAGAACTTTCTCAAATTTTGGATAACAGTTTGCATTGCAGTAGTCCATTTGTCAGTCAACCTAATGATAAGTAAACGAAATATCTCCCCTCCCTATTCACACGTCAAACAGAATTATCTCTGACCCAAACTCGCAAATGTTTCTGGTTGGTTGAAAAGTAAGCATATATGTTGTTGTTGTTGCTTTTATCCAATCGAAATGAGGACTATGGAATGAACGCTGTATCCAGTCCTTTTATATAAAGGTCAATCTACACTCAAGGATTTCAGTTGTGTTGCGCTTAACTGTAAAATAAGGATGTCTACAAACTGCATAACACGCCTATCACCACTTCGAAGGACGTCAGTAACTAGAAGAAAACGTAGCCATGTGTTGATGTCATCCAGAGGATTACATAAATATGCTCGAAGTAGAACACGTTCCCAAGTATCATATTGTGATAATTACCTAAAGCCTCATCAAATTGAGTGTGAACGACTCAAAGAAATTCTACCAAGTGTAGCAAATTGTGAAAAGTTAGATGAGGTAAGTTACTCAATGATGTCATGCATATGGATAATTTTTAAAAATTGATTTATTGTTAACTTTACTGTGTACACGTTGTTGTTGGGACTATCTGGAAACTGTCAGAATCAAGAAAATGTGAACCACAAGGTTCTAACTGAGTTGGTCAACATTGGTGTGCCAACCACGGAACCTGGATGTGGTGGGTTCGATCCCTGACAGTGTATGGGAGTGGGTGTGCACTGTTGAGGAGTTCAATACTATGACGAAGCAGCTTTCCAGTGCTCCTAGTTTCTCAGTGGTTCTCCAACTGATATCAGTATGTGATGAATACCAGCTTAATATCTGTGATACAGGGTGATGATTAAAGCTGGAATGAAAACCAAGGTTGAGGCTGGATTCGTCTTACCAGTCTCCGAATACAAGATGGCTGGATTATCAACAACAGACTATCTGAAGTATTTTCCATAAATATACATATTGGGTAGAATACTTTGCACAGTGCTTTCAGTGAACTGTAAGTGGGGGTGAGTAAACTTAATTTGATTTGGAGGTTTGCGGGGGATTTATTGATTGATTTCAGGTTGATATTTATCATGGTCTGACATCATTTGTAGAAATATTGGAAGCCCGAAAGCAGTGGATAGCTGTTTCGTTGTGTTATGGGACTCCTACGCAGTGCGCACTCATGAATCCACACTTCCAGGGATCAAAACTAAGACCTTCAGGTTCCATGGTCAGCACGTTACTATCGCACTACTGAGTGGGAATCCAGAGATCCACATTCCCCACTTCTGTCAGTTTGCGATATAGAGAGACCTCCGAGATGATTACCGGCCTGAAATCGATCAACAAATCCACTCAAAGCTTCAAGTTGAATTATTCTAATGCTCATTAATGACTCACTTCGAATTGAGATTCCTCAAGTTGTGGTCGGGGGGGTTAAACAAGTCGAACTTGTAGACAGTTACCCAACGACGACATTGTAGTTCTAGCTACATATTCCAGTAATACCTATATGATATTGTATTGTGTGCTCAGGAGCTCATTTCTATCTAGAGTGATATTTTCTCTTAATTTCTTTGGTAACTCGTCTAACGACAGGTTGAATGTATTTCATGAATGAGCGAGAGTACGTTTTACCATTTATTGGCACTTGAATGATCAAAATAAGTAAAAAAGGAAAGCAACTGGTCCTATTGATATAAATTTAAACAGCGTAATGATAAGACGAAGATTATCTGAAACATGTGTTGTATTAGCGCTATACATTTCCAACATTCTGATCACACATGGGCTTGTCAAACTATTTGTGGTAAAATTTGCGAAAATGTTCAGTGAAGTTAATAGGAAACATGGCAACAGGAAGTGAGAGAATAAAGAAAAAAAACTTCACGCTTGGTATGAACCTACCATGGTAGGTTCGCCATGAGTACGAATTGTTTTTTATACACTTTTATGTAGTACTTTGAAGGCTGTTTTCATGTCTATCCTATGGTTAGTTTCTAGTATATGTTTAGCGATTGACGAAGATGGATGTTTGTCACTTGCACTTATCGGATCTGTTGAGGTCATTTATTTTTGTAGCCACTTCGGTACATGTTCAACCTGCCTTAACTGCATATCACGATTACTCTTCTTTATATATGTGTCCACACATGCATGTAAATTGATAAACACATTGGGATGTGATGTAATCGTTTATATGTTGTTTTGGTTTGTGCTGTGACATGGACTTGGTCTTCTCTACAATGATGACCTTGACTGCATAATACGTTTTACAGATGACCGATCTAAGTCTTTTCCTCACAACAAAGCTATATGAATCACCTATAAATGGTAATGAGATGAAGAAATTTATCTTAGCAACGGAACACTGTGCACTTTTCAGTGGTATATAACTTATGCACCTGTCGATAAATCTCAACGGGTATCCACTCTGTGTCAGAGTTGTCGTCAGTAAGTTGGTTTCTTCCTCCCTGGTGTCATCGGTGCAGATACGGTTTATCCTGTTGAATAAGCATCTAACTAAACCACGTTTATATTGGACTGGGCAATAGCCATGGAAATTAAGATATTGCCCTGTCCATGGAGGTTTCTTATAGATCGACCTCTTGATCGAGCCATCCTCCCGTCGACTGAGCAATACGTCTAGGAACGGTAGCTGGTTGTTCGTCTCTTGTTCACAAGTCAGGCTAATGTGATTCTGAGCCGTGTTCATTTTCTGTAGCAGGCACATTGCATCATCAGGCTTTTCACATATAATGACTATATCATCAACATATCTCTTATAAAGTGAAACGCTTCCGATGAGATCGTCAGCCATGTTTTCAACATATGACATGTATACATCAGCTAGCAACGGTCCTAATGGACTGCCCATCGCAACACCATCAATCTGTTGAAAGTGTTCGCCCTCGAATGAGAATTTAACTTTATCAGCGCATAGTAACAAATCTTTTAAAAAATTAATAGGGATAGGGAATATATGACTGTTAGAAGAAATACAGTCACATAAAATATCAATTGTTTTTACTAGAGGTACATTAGTAAATAAAGAATTCACATCGAACGAGTACACAGTCTTATCCTTGATATTAATATAATCTAAACAGTCAATAAGGTCAAGTGTATCTTTCAATGACGACTTACATAAATGGCTTCTGACAGGACTCAAGAGCTTTGTCAACCATTTAGCTAGATTATGTGTGGGTGATCGACACATAGACAATATTTGACGCAGTGGATTGTCAGGTTTATGAGTTTTAGGTAGCCCATATAGATGTGGATGTTCAGATCCCATAGGTTTTAGACGATTAAATTCATCTTTATTGATTCAATTCATGCCGAGTATTTTCACAAGTTTAGAATTTACTCTGCCTTCCAATTTACGTATTCCATCACAGGGGGCATCTGATGTGAATTTGCTTTCATCACTGAGAATAGATAACATCTTACTTTTATAATTGACTGCTTAGTTACAATTATGTTAATTTATACAAGTATTTAGGGTTCAGTGTTTCTGATGACGAAATACAAATATGGGCAATAGAGCGCCTTCACTGGTAAACATAGTCAACTTCATGAAACTGTAGACGACAGTGAATGTGATTTGGTCAAAACAAGTACACCCACCTGATGAGTCCGCGATAGGAAGAAACGTGCGTCTTGGATTCCACTGTTAGCCACTATACATCATTAAAATAATAATAATTTTACTAAGACAATATTTTCAATGTAGTACGGAGTTCTCAGTATGACATTTCAATAAATTTGCTCCTTGTACAGTAACATTCAACCGGTATGAAAATTTGTAGTTCCAGTTAACTATTCCTTTTATGAGTTATATGATGTTCTGTTGTGCACCCAGGACCTGATTTCCATATAGAGTGATGTTTTCTCATAGTTTTATAGGTGACTATCCCAGCAACCGGTTGAAGATATTTTAAGAATGTGTGAGAGTACGTTTTTCGATTTGTTGACATTTGAAGGATTCCAACAAGTAAAATTGAAAGGAAGAATTTGATGAAGCAATTCAAGGAGAAAATTTTCTAATGACCCGAAATTTAAGGCAGGTCAACAATTAGGAAGAGAGAACTACCTAATATTCAGGTTTCACCGCATGGAAATATGGAGGATTCTAAGGACAACTCATCATGCAATGTAAGAAGCCTAGCAAAAATTTGTAATTTGTAATGGTCAAAATAATTTTCATCTGGATATTAGTGAATATTAAACGCCAAAAATATGGTAGAGAAATTTGTTTTGTGCAGAATATGGATTTCAAAATCTGGGAGCACTCATCAGTTAGATGTTTTGTTCTAATCTGATAATACTCATCGATGTAGACAGCACATGATTTAGCAAGGATATAGAAGTTTCTCAATGGGCACATTACTAGTGAGTCCTTGAAACAGGATCAGATCGCTCATATCTCCCAATCCCGATCAAAGAATATTTTTGGTACAACAGACTGATAACCATGTGTACTCCCAATTTAGTTAGCTTAGAGGCTATTTAGCGTTTTCTAGTCTTCACAGATGCATCAACTCATGTCAGTTGGAAATGAAAATTGTTGCTAAATCCACTATTCCACCCTCATCTTATAAAATGTTTAACCTGCACGAAACCCCAACGAAATTTTAGTCTAATATTATCACGTTTCTGAAATAAAACAGCATTCACACCAATCTCATGATACAATATAGTAAATAATGAACAGAATCACGTTTCATATTGATATGTCTGTGAACATTTTCAATTTCTCTTTGTTTGTTTGTTTGTTTGTTTGATTGTTTTTCTGCATAACACTGAGCCTATCCAGGTAGCACATTTGACAGTTGTTTTTTAAAATGAGATACACACAGTAATTGTCATGCTAATGAGTACAGTAAATTTGGGTTTTGTTTGTCATTTGCAAATCAAGTCAGTTGATTGTGACATTTTATGCCCAATATCAAAAGTTTTTATTAAAATCTCTGATAATGACTAGATTGATTTTGTTTCCCGTTAACTCTCTTTCCATACAACACATCTCTACTTGAAATATACTTCTGAAGAGTATAAGTAGTTTTGAATAAGTTTCGTTGATCTGAAGATATTGTTAAGCAAATCAGAGCGATCTTAACTGCTTAATCATTCCAGACATCTGAAGACGAGGTCACCAGGAATATTCCTTTTTTTTTTTTTTTTTTTTTTTTTTTTTTTAAGCCAAACGAACGTCACCAACACACGTTGTATGATAAATGTGTAGTGCTGACAAGGGTTCTGTTTACAAATTCACTCACATAATGTGTTTAAAACCACACTGATGATACATTTAGGCAAGTGAAACACTGTTCATCTGTGGGAGATGTGAATATGGAGTGAGCAGTTTGTAGGTATGCTGAAAATCGATGAAGCATGTTCATCTGCACATAAGGTTCAGTTTTTCGGATATCCCATATTCGTCTATTGAATGAGACTCTCTAGTAGCCAGCATGCTTTTCATTAATAAATGGTAGAGTATGGACATTGAAGATATTGTAGTCTTTTGGTCAGTGAGTGTCTGGAGTATAAAATATACTGCTGAACAACTCGAGTATTTGGAGCTAGGTCACAGTGATCTAAACACCAGATAGCCTCTTCACTCGTTTTGGTTTGAGCTCATCAGCTCTTTATATCATCTGATACTAGCCATCTGACTTGCATGAACCGGTATACCATAAAAAGAATATCCACCTTGCAAATTCTACTCAGTGATTAAAGAATTTTCTCAATATTTCTCTTCCTTTGTTAAACTATCAGGTGAAAATTATACAAGAGGCAATTAAACACATCGATTACCTGGAACAAGCTGTTCTCCAACGATTGAATATAATCACCATGGAGACCTCGATAGAGACCAGTAAGTTTTTATCACCTCCAATTTTCATCTTGTTCATGTCAGCCAATTGATAAGTCGAACAATTTACAATAGAACACTGAGACGCACCGGTTCACTCCTGGTTTGAAGCCTTCCACTGGATATTCTACTAACCGTAGGAATTACTCAGGATCTTAGGTTCTTCACATGAACAAGTTTCTGTTGATGTTCAGTGTCTCAATGGTGTAGCCGTCCATAATGTACTCGATGACTGATTTCCCGTTGATTTCGACTCTTGAAACTTTGATTGATCATTCATCAACTAAGAGCAATGAATGCCAACATTGCCTTATCCCTTAGTGCTGACCAAATATGTCAGTGGCGTTCAGTTACTCAATATGAACTGGACTTGACGTAGAGCATTTGAAGACAACCTGCTGGTTGAACTTCTCATCTGTAGCTGGAGGACCGTTCATTACGTTTTCACCATTCACACTTGCTAGGTTCAACATTCAATGCATACTGACAAAGATTTATTGTAAATAGTCTGACATTTGAATAGCAACTTAGCAACCGAAAAGATATGCACTGTTTCGCCCTCTTAACAGAATCATTTCAAAAAATGAACATATGTTTTTTCACATATCGGTGTTTGGCATTATTCCAAAGTTGTATAGGTAAACATCCGTGTGAACTTTTTGCATAGATTGTAAGTTCACTACATAAACACCTGATTTACCGAGTTCATACTAAGCATATGTTATAATTCTCAAGAGAAAATTCATGTTAGTTAATGATAATAATTAAATGGACCATCTTTAATTGATTCACTCTGTCTCTCACATAAGCATAGTCTTAGCATCGATGTTTTAGTCTCCGTGTTAAAATGAACCTGGGTATGTTAGCCTAGAGCCATATATACCTTTAGTCTTAACATGTGCTCATCAATTATATACTTAGCAGTAAAATCTGCAGATGTTTCACTGCACGACAGTCTTATTCATACCGTCATCGATAGATCATCTACAGTTCTGAGTAATCAGTTCCCTGACGCATTTCCCTTTCTGTAATAGTACTACTTGCTATTACGTGATGTAGTTCAGTAGTAAAGTGTGTATTACTCATCTTTAGTCACCCGTCCTTAATGATCCCCTGTTCAATGAACTGAGGGGTAAGGAAACTCATACAATCACAAGTGAACAGTATGCGTGTACTATTGGTAAGTGTAGTAACATATTCAGTGAATATTTGATATGGCGACAATTTGAGGCACGAAAAGGATCGATGTGATATGTTTCATTCTAATACTGGAATACACAAAAATATAAAGTCATAATGGTGTTTTGTGTGGATTTTGAGAGACAGCGTTTGAATGAAAGGGTTTTCTACATGATGCTTCCCAAAACCTTTTTGGATATGCCTGGTTCTTTATATATTCTTTGAGAAAATGAATCTGCGCATTCACTTCAGCAAGCCTGACAGAATGACGTAGAAAACAAACGAGTTAATTTAATCTCCTGGAGTCCTTACTAGTTTTCAGTGTGAAGATGTTACCCATCAGAATGACACTATGGATAATCTTTTTCGAATGCTCAACAACGAGACTGAACAGACTATCCTAATAGTAGCTAACCACCAGATATTTACGGACAGTTTTATAGACTGGAGTGGTGATGTCACCTTTCAAATCCATTTAGGTGTCCTAATGAATAAGAAATTGTTTTTTAATCTTCAGCCTGAAGAGACTGGAAAAATTACTGATTCGCTCCAAAATATGTTGTTTCCGCATTGATACTGTGGGAGTATGGGAGAACGTCAAAAAATTTTCAAGGTCACATGTGACCCAGTTCTCATGCATGAAAGTAACTATCACTTGAGGAAATCTGCGGTAATGACTATTCACCCATGAAAAAGTTATCCAGGTCAATGAAAGATGTAGTAAGTGAGATCGGTGATATTATCGTGAATAGCCGGCTTGACTGAAGTCTACACCCCTACATACCGAATATTTTCACACCTGTTCACTCGCATTGATCTTCATGACCCAGCTGGTATACAGCTGAAAGAGAAAAATCTGAATTCAGCCTGTTCTCAACGGTTTCTCAGGAAAGCATAAAGTTGGTCCTTAGTCCTTCAAACCTACAGAAGAAGAAATTCCATGAGTGTGTCTGTTACAGTCAAACTTTGGCTTCAAGACAGCAGCATATACGCCCTTAGTAATCAACAGGTTATTCCAACTGATATAGTATTATTATGTTTATAAACCAGTAACATCGTGCACATTCGTACAGCAGGCATTGGGCCACACTTATTGTGAGAGTGCTAGTGATACTACCTGGCAGCCCAAACTTGAATAGGTGGAGCGCGATTCCAACCCGTGATCCACTGACTGATAGTCAACTCTCCAAACAAATGAGCCACAGCTCCCAAGCGATCTACCATAAAACTGAATCTCAGTCAAGTGAGAAGTTGCTAAAGGCCGGTAACTACTATTCATCCTGTGCTTCTTCTTCGACCATCTCAACACTCTTTTCGACAACCAATCCTTCTGGATGGATATTCTGCAGAATGACAGTTCCCTTGTTCAGCCTTGTACTATTGATAGATGAAAAGAAAACTTGATGACCACAGTTGTGAAACAGTGAGTAGATTTCATGCAGAGTTGAGAGTAATGAAATGACACCAGTAGTGAGTGATAGAAATTTCGGCTTCGACTTCAATGTGTAGTCCTCGTAGGGAGGCCACACTGGGTGTGACATTCACATTGACCAGATCACTCCTAGTCATGAGAAGCTAACATCCAAGAACAGTCAAACCACGAAAACACACAGAAGCTCACCAACCTTTGCGATACTCGGTGTTCCAGTTTTGTGTACAGATTTCAACTTGTCAGTCAGTGGCTATGTGATACACTCAATTTTGAAAATCAGGTACAAATTACAAGACGAATATAGATGAATTGGCTGAAGCTGTCAATAAATATGCTTTGTCTAGTAATTTCTTACACGAACAATATATCCGCATACAGCGTTTCACACACCATTATTCATCCGAGTGTAAAACGACATCCTGGTGATTATCACCTCGTTATCGATGCACTCAATCAATCGTAATGATATTTCTCTCTCTCTCTCTCTCTCTCTCTCTTTCTCTCTTTATGATCAGGCTTGCTCACTGTATACATGTGATCCTAAATTTCATCACGATATCAAGTGATGGTGCATGGCTTTGTAATACAGTCAAACTGACTGATTAGCCTTCGCTACTTCACGTAAAGCATATTGAGTTCACTCGCTTATGAGAAGGCAAGCATTTCTTAAAACGCAGGTATGTGCATATCACAAGGGAATCCCGAGTGGGTTGAAACTAAAAATTGTCAACCTCAATACCCATCACCACCAGATTAAACTACAGAGAGTCATTGTATTCTACTACTGTAGGAATGCAAGAGTGTAATCACCTGTCACAACTATTAACTCTACAAGCAAGAAAGGTGGTATTGGTCAGCCATGCAGTTCCTTCGAGATCACCGCATGAATTACAAGATTAGAGTACCTACTGATGAGTGAGTAACAGACAGCAATTGTTACTTGTTGGATTCGAAAACAATCCCCATAAAGATATATCGGGAAAGGAAAAAAAGTGGTTTAGCGAAAAAACGTTTCGACGAATTCATTCACTGTACAAATGTGCAATAGCATTTATATAAAAGCCGTCAAATTCATTTTCCGCAACGAAAATGATTCTATGTATGAATAAACTTTGATTTCAGAGGTGACATAGACATTGGTTGATATACTAAAATGAAGCATTTTAAGTTCCCTGGGGTAAACTTTCTTTGCAGCAACATTCAGAGTAGTGTTCTGTAGTCGCCTGAAAGACAAAATCCCACATCTTGCCACCGTTATGTGTTCAGTTCACCTGCTCAAGTGGAGTCTGGTCATGTCCAAAAGCGTTCAAGAAAAATATCCTGCATGTCTACAGAGAGACAGTAGTGTATCTATACGAAGTATGTTAACGGAACATTGGTCATTCAATTTCAACAACCACCTCTTTCAAAGTTATTCACAAAGTGAAAAGAAACTTGCCAAAGTCAGTACTAATCGCCTCCTTTGTAATCCTTGCTGAAGCTTTAGTAATTCAGGAAGCAAAGCCGGAACCTTCTATACGAAATGACTTGTTCAACCAGCACTTCTTTCGTGGTCCTAATCTCTAGCGTTTCTAAATATCTCCCACCGTCATTCCTTTGACTGTTTACTTCCTTTCATTTCTTACATATCTTCGACCACTCCTTCTTTCCATACCTATCCAGACCCCTTTATAACAATTCATTCATTAATACTATGTCATGTTACTTACTCAACTCCTCATTCTAACCTAGTCACCGTGACTCAATTTCCATGAAATCATGAGCAATACCTACGAATATTAGCAACCTTGCACTTCATTAATCCTATGACAATTTTACTTTGCTTGTCAACATGCCATTTGGATTGCTTTCCAATATTCATAAATATTTCACGATGATTGTAAGATGAAACAGTAGTTCCACTTTTATACATATATCACATTGTGGTTATGACTAACGAACTACTTTCACACATGAAACAATTTGTACATCCTCAGCAAAAGTTGTATATGAATGTGGTTGAACACCTAGGTATGAAGTGAATGAACTCGCCGAAAACAGTCTCTTCGTTCAACCACACGGTTTCACTTACTCATTGGATTTCCCGTTGAAAAAGTATCATATGTCATACACATTGATTGCCTATCACATGGTAAACAACATGATAAATTTATCGATGATATTGATGACATATAACAAACAGACTAGGAAGTCTGATCTGCTCACTAGACGGACACTATGCTTTGTGTCGGATGCAAAAGGTGTTTATCAGGACTCATCACTGTCGAAAGATGTTGAATTGCTGGTGAGATGAGAACCCATCTCCATCATCGACATAGTCAAACAGGCTGCTAATCAGCATCGTGGAGTAGAATATTACCTTGGTTACGCATCACTGACCACTTACTATGCACAACTCTATCCGAGGAGGCGTCTTCTCAGCCATGGACTGATTGTAGATTTGAATAATGTGACTTCAAACAACTACAGTCAGTGGAGATTTTCCTGCTACACATATGCCCTCTGACGAAGAGCAACAAACAGGAAATCTAGGTCTGCCTATGCATTCCCCTCAATTGCACCTAGACATGCAAACTCATTGATTCATTGGGATAGTAACACGTCATCTGACTGGCCTGTATGCTT